AATTAAAAATTATAAGTTGAAATTGATGACAGATTAGTTAGATAAAAAGTTAGATAGAAGCAATAAATCTCATTAAAATACGCGCAATTATTTTTATAAGTTGGATTGTACTATACGAATTATACATCGCAGTGAAACAGGAAATAGTTTTGCAGTTCTCATGCCTACTCTAGATGTAAATGGAATAACAATTAGGCTTTCCTATCGATTGCACAAACCCAATGAATAGAAAGGAGAAGAAAGAGGGCTAGTTTACGGAGCAATTGGTGATGGCGGACCAATCGCGACTCAATAATTGCCGAGAAAGAATTCGCCGTTTTTATGATAAAACAAAAACTATATCAGCAAAGGAACGAGGTGGAGTCGATCTCCATTTTAAAATGCGCTATCAATCACTGTGCGGTTGTTGCATTGACAGTTTAACAATGTTAATTGCTCGAATTAAGCTAAATCACGCGGTCCTTTGGGGGTCCTTTCTGTACTGGCTTAATTAACATATTCGTATTACCGTAAATCTGTCTGACAGCGGGCGCGCAAGTCGATACTAATAACATTGATCAAACTACTACTTACATGGTCAAACTACTGTAGAAAGTTGACGTTTAAATTCACATACTTATCGCCACCATTAACTAAACGGCAGTTAACAGATATTAACAGACGCTTTAAAAATTTCATGAATACTGAATCATGATCATGGATCGTGGAAAGTTGAACTAAAAAAATATTATTAGGAAAGATAGTAAATATAAGCGACTTAATAAAATCGCTGAGATTATGATCATTACTTAACGTTTTTATATACTAAAACGTCACTAAAAAGCCATAACTTTCCTTCAGATCTAATTAATATTTTAAGATTGATCGTAGATTGGTTATTATGTCAATCTATAAATGAATAGAGGATAAAGTATGCTATCTCTTATTAATTTCAATAGTAGCACAAACGAGTGATTTATTAATTCATAGGTGCATACATAAAAATTTTATATTTAAAACGAGCGTGAAAAATACTTTATTTTATAAAAAAAAGATTTTATTTTATATTTAAAATACACATACAAAGCGTTATAATTAATTATTTAAATTCTTATACATAGAAATGCAGCAGTCAATTTATGATTTAAAGAGTTTATTTTGTTAATCGCGGTGTGATCTGGGCAATCTCTCTAACTGCAATACTAGGACAAAGTCATGCATCCGGGGAATGGAAGGTCAGTATACTAATGTCAGTCTACGCGCCTTTGTCATATATACGCACGTTTCTCTGATAATTTCTTGCGTAAGCACTTTTGCAGAGTAGCATGTGTTATGTAGCATGCATTTCGATATGTAGGTGTATTTTAACTGTGTTCTTGAAACTGACGACGTATCAATTACTTTTGTAAGCAATAAAATCGTGGGATTAATACGTAACAAATTCGCGGTTTTTCTGACTGGCTCAAATCGCTCAATGCTTTCAATACGACAAAGGGGAAATAATAATCTTAATAAAAATTATATTCTTGAATGTTCCCACGCAATAATTTTTCATTTCTTCGTATTTTGCGAACGGAGAAAGTGCTTGGGACGATTATACCGGCGGAAGTTGCAGTCATTGAGAAATTTAAGCGATACGTTACGATAACAGAATACATGAATATTGAACTGGAATTAGTCATGCGCTGGTTATTTCTCTTTGGGCACCTTATGAAGGATATTATAAATTCAACTCGGCTCTCCTTACACCAGCGCGCTAGATACGAGAAAGCAATTCAGTGTCAATGACAGACATGTCGCCGTTCCATTTTTTGCCGCGAGAATGTCATTATTCGATACACTGCAATCTCACCTGAATTTCTCACACTTTCTCCGTTTCCACTAGTAATTTATAGGTTCAGCGACGTGCGACTGTATCGCACTTGTTTTACAACTTAGTTAGTTGCTTATACAAGGCTAATTTAAGGTACGCAGTGTCAATGTCAAAGCGTTTCTTGGAATCTTATTTTTCTTAGAAGAATTACTTTTGTTCGTACCTTTTCCCGTCATAATAAAGAAATTATTATAAAAAGGATAAAATATAAAAAAATTAATAATTTTTAGATTTTTAATTAGAACTAAAAATAAGGATATATCATGCAATTCTTTTTAAAGATAATTTTTTGAACATAGTTACGAGCGATCTGTTATTAGATACAACATTATTACAAATATCATTTTTGCAATACCATGCAGGGATGATGCCGTGCAGCATCGTAATTTTTGAGAAATGGAAAGCTTGACGTTAGCGATACGAACGGGTTTTGTCACGGTCTTGCTATGGGCGTGAACAGATGCTGACCGAGAAGACGTGTCGCACGATCGTTAATTGACAGAATAGGACGGTCGCGTGATTCGAGGCGAGCAAGTAACACATGCACGTGACTTAGTCAGACTTTTCCCTCGATGGCATTAATCCGTACGAGGAAAGACGTATAAGCGTAGCTCTCTTTCTTCGTCTTTCTTGTGCCCGCAATGATCGGCAATAACCGGCACGTGCAAAAGCACGTGTAATCACGTGCCGCACGTGATACCGGCTCCCGCGTGCGGATATAGGGATTGTTATTATCGTCCATGCTCTAGTGTCTATGCAGCGGCATTGATTCTATGGCACGTGTGTAGGTGTGAACGCTATAATTATTAAATGGTTGCGAGATCGCATTTGTGAAATAACTACGCTAACAGGGATTAATCTTACTATCCAATTAATTTGCAAAAATATACATATATGTATAATTTATTACATTTTTTATGCATCTTTAATCTGTTCAGAGATTTTTTATTTAACCTAAAATAGATTTTAATTTCTCTCTAAAAGATAATACCAAAATTTTAATTGCTTTTAAGTTACAAATGATCTAAAATTTTGGACAAATTTTACAAATTAAAAATCTTAAAAATAAAAATAGTTAATAAAATCTTGCTTTTAACTTAATGTCACGTGCATTATGTTTTATCGAAATTGGAAATTAAGTAAAATAATTAAGTTAAACATTATAAATATAAACATTGTAAGAAATTGACATCAGATTTGTGAAAAAATCTATGAACAAAATGAAGAATGTTGAATTAGAAACAACCCATATAAAGAATGAATTTTAAACTCCAAATACATGCATGGCGTAATTGATTTCATAAATAAATGATCGAACTTATTAGATCTAATATTCTTTTGTCATATACGTTAATCCTTAATATAAATGCAGGATATATTTCAACTTTCGAATCATTATTTAAGAGATCAATATTTTTTCTAACACTTAGTTATTTAATATATATATATAATTTATTTATCACTGAATATATATTTTATACAAAAGTTAAAAAATTTATTTTTGGATAAAACTTTTCCGGGTTTTGATTATAAAACGATACTTTCTGACTGCAATGTACTGCAAGTCCCGCTATATCTGACGACCCTGCTTCTACGTCAGTGTTTCTAACAAAAATGCAGTAAAGTTGCAGTCCTTGTAGGCCGCGGTATTCACAGTGAACATATTATACGCGTAGGCAGCGAATCTCGTGAGCGTAGCTCGCGACGAGCCAGACTCACGTGCTTATGCGGACAACCGTTTACAGGCCTTTTCGCGGTTTCCCATACATTTGAATGACACGTGTTGTAATACCCATTTTACCGATGTTTATTCGACAAATGTCAGAGCCCTGGATACGAAGCAATAAGAGAATCATGTTGAGAAAAGATCGTGGGATAGCGGCAGAAGCGAGAAATCTGCATTGCAGCAGTTTTGAGCGCTGTCACGTCCCAGAGAGACGGCATATTCTCCGAGGTTATCAGGATTAGCATCTGTAGAAGGAAGTGTTCCACTTTCGTGAATGAAGGATAGAGAGAAGGTGGAGACATAATTATGCGGGATAGAGCCAGACATAATAACTATGATAAAACGAAATGGAGAAGAAGATAATGCAGTAGTAGGAGCAACTAAGATCTCCATTCTTGAGGAATCATAATGTTTAAAATTGCGGAATTTTCTCATCTTCCTTTTCTTAACATAATAGCATGAACCGCATGAAAGAAAAATATTCCATAATTATCATAGAGTGTCAGCAGATTACTCAATATTTTCTTAAGTTACATGATAGTTTAGATAGTAAAGAGATTAGAGTTATAATTTTTTTTTTTAATTAGTGTAAAAGATTTAAATTTTTGAGTAATTTAATTAATCAATTTTTTACCATAAAAAATAATTTTAGAAACTTGCTGAACAAGTTGTATTATTTTTATTAATAGTCAAATTTTATGTTAAACTGTCATATTTATATTAAATTAAGAGAAAAATTAATAGTAAGAATAGATAAATTATTCTTTATTATTAAAAAAATATATACATAAGCTGAATATAACTATATAACGATATCCGTATAAAAACGAATAATGTCTTTGAACACGCCTTATTGCGAATTGTGCAAAGATCAGCCGTGAACTTTGAATTATCTTGATAAAGAATGACTTTAAGATCGTCGTGAATCGTATCTTTGCCGCATAATAATTAGTATATAATGTGACTGACGAGATAGAAGCGCGATTTTTTTTTCCTGTCTTGTATATTTTTATTGTCTATATACACTCTATATGTGAATATAGACTAAATTATATGAATACTAATTTATATAAATGTAGATTAAATTACGTATTAACAGTCAGTATTAATTGATAACAAATTAATGTTTGGTATGTTTATTAAATTAATTTTTTATAAAATATATATGAACAAATTACTGCAGTCTCGCATAGGATATTTGAATTATTGTATATCAAGAACCGTTATCTTCTGCTGTTTTCAAAATAAGCTTCACATTTTATATTTTTAATTATTTCTAATTTGTTGACGCACGTATAGTAATGTTCTACTTGGAATAATAAAAGGAAAATAATTAGGAATATAAAATGTGAAGTCTATTTTAAAAACAGCAGGGGATGACAAATAATGTACATATACAATAACATTAAAAATATTACATACCTGGCATTAATCTCTCTTGTGGGGGGTGTCCTAAAATTCCGGTACCGACAAGTAACAGAATAGTCAAGATCCCAACGAGATGCATCCTCATAATCACTCCCGGTCTAACCTATTCCTGATCACAATGAATGAAGACGATTGGAAATTTGCAAACACGTGGACGGCAAACTTAAGCACGACGCGGTCAATTTTCGAAGTTGCTTTATTTCAACGTGCGAACTTACGCGAGAGATTCTCAGGTGTTAATCTAAGTCTGCCGTACGGTTTGTCGGCAGAGCTCCTATCGCTGTCGGACGGTGCGGTAGTCTGGAGGGCCGCCTGGCGCTTTCACTGGCTTTATACGTGCGCACGAAAGCACCTCTTCTGAAAGAGGGGATTCTAGACGGCTCTCGTGCATGTCGCTGGACATACCACGAGACATCGCGGAGGATTGTAAAATTTCGGGGTACTTATATTTACGGATCATGTATATCTTTAGTTTTAGAATAATCAAGAATATTATTTTTAACTGCTCCAAAAGTAAAAAAAGTTAAAATGTGCAAGACGATGGTGCAAACTGTAGGTACTGCAACAGAGAATATACACACATTAAGAACTATATGAATTTATTAAAAAACTTCTGTGTATCATTCTTCGTAATTAAAAGTTTTAGTTTCTTTTGATATAATAAAAAAATTATTATATCGATGTAATTATTATGAATTTTAATTGTAATTGCTGACATTAAACAATGTAAAGCAATGCGATGTCGCAAAAATATGTCGCATTCTGATACCTAAAATAATATTATGACAAGATAAGGGAAATATGTTTTAAACATAGAAAGATATGTGGACAGTTAGACAATTTTCAATAATGACTTCATACGTTTAAGCATTTTAGTTATAAGTATTTGATCGTTACCGATTTAACAATTAATCTTTCACTGCACTTTATCTGTGATTGCTTTTCTTTTTAATCGACGTAACAAGCTCGATTTACTGCGAATTACTCAATAACTAATTAGATTTAAGGGCGAATCCGATGTTATGTGTATATTTTCTCGGTACGTGTGTATTATTGGCGGTTCAGTCATCGACATAAGTTGAAAGGAAGCTCAATGCGTTGTTTTAGTTAATAAACGATCTCCGACTTCGTTCTTTTTAAATATTGATCTGGATATTGACAGGCGCTTTTGCACTACCTTATGTAACAGTTTCCGATTAGTGGTGAACAGAAGTAATTGGTGGAACAAAAAAGTAAATACGCGAAAACATAATTACAAGCACGGAATTACAGGTATATGTTCCGCACTATCGATTACATGGTCGATGAGTCGCCGATCGTATAGTTAGCCACAATGCCGGTGTCATTACCAAAGCAACCTCTCATTATCTCGCACTATTCTATGATTAATCGCTGATATAACCGGGAAATGAGCGATGAAAGATAGATAGACTAAAATTTTTACGAACTCTTTTATTTACTCGTTTGAATCGTCATTATTACTCTCATTGAAACGATATACATATATTCGTGTGGGAAAATACGACTCGGAAGTACGTTTTTTATTCAACGTATATTATTTTAGGTCTTTCTAAACTGTGTCACGAAAACGTTGTGTAATGCAGCAAACAATAAATGATGACAAATTATGTGTCATATAAAAAGACATTCACTTTCAGTTGACAAAAATCATCGAATTCACTTAAATAACATATATAATGAAGTCGCAGAGGTACTTAATGTCTATCGTTCATCATAATGATGGATGCCTGTGTCAATATTGAACATTTTCTCACGTTTTGAAAAAAATTCAGTCTGGTAAATAGATTTTTTTTTTCAAAGAATACACTCGCTTTATAGTGTCAGGTCATGAAACAAACCTGCAGTTTGATTCATTGTCTATTGCACCTTGCCGGTCAGCTAGTCGCTTGTCCTAGATGAATCATTACCGCACCCGAGATCATTATCCTTGGTCGTTGGAAATAATTCGTTCGCGTGTTTCGAAATCTTCGACAATCCTCCCGAGTTATACATTTTATATTGCTTAATGCATAGCTCTGAAGGCGCCAATCTAATTCATAAGCTCGAAGTACTCGGGTCACTTCCATGATCGTGCATCAATGTCGTGAAGGAGAGATATGTGCACTAGTAAATGGCCTTAATGACGACATTGTTTTAGATGTAATAGATAATTAGATAATTTTATTTTGCTACAAATTTATTAATTTTTTATTGCATACTTATCTTTAATATCAAGTTAACCTATAGATATCAATCAGATTTAAATTTTTGAGGGAAGAGAGATACCTAAATTATATATTTTGAGAAATGTAAAAATTAATCTGCGATACAAGATTTCGTGCGAAAATGTGGAGGAAAGAGGATAAAGAGCAGGATACCGAGAAACTCTCTGCCTGTTACCCGAATGAACCGGTTTTTTGCATTTCCGCGATTTAGCAAGCCTCATTATTTTAAAGTCGGGCAGATTTTGTTTTGAGTATCGTTAATCATTCTTGACTCTGAGAGAAGAAGAGAGATCTCCGGCTGATTTTCGTCAAGCTATGAGAGGTTACGAGCATGTTATTCATCACTAGGTATTCACACGTCTTAATCTGTATCCTCATTAAGCGCAGAGACGCTGAAAATAAAATAAATAAGACGCATTAGATTTATTACTGCTTTAAAAACTGATGGAAAAGAATTTGCAGAATTCGTTTCGGAATATTAGTTATGCTCTCGTAGTGGTTATTTAGAAAATCGCTTCGTATAACTACTAATTACTTTTTGAAAATAGAATTTTACGAGTAATCTAGTATTCGCATCGTGATAAGTAAGATAGTAATCAGTAGATACGTGAAAGTAGTCCTACTAAATTGTACATATTAAGTCGATGTGTGGATTATATCATAGTAATGTTCTGTATTTACCACCGACATGGTGATAGTCGCTGTTGCAACTTTAGCAATGAGTATTAAGTCGAATCAAATTGATCGATCTTGAGTTGACGCAAATTCCAAGTTATGATAAATACACTTGATTAACACAACGATCCCATATCTAAACTGTTTGTTAAATTTGGTAATCTATTACTATCAGAATAACAATGCATTATATCTTACAAATCGTCTTTAGATTGACAGATTCACGATTCTTATAGCAACGCGAAAGCACTTAATTCGTCTTTTTGACTTAATTATAAACGATCTAGTGCAGCTTCTCCCTGCACTGCTTTGCTATCGCTAGAATGTTACTTATATGGATGAAAAGTAAGTGAAGCTATTTCATAATATGTACATGCTCGGTATCAAGCATGTTTTCATATTTTTATATGAAATACGTATATCGTTATAATCATTAGATTATAACTATTATCGTGATTGAGTTTGCAACGAACTTAGTACATTTCCTTATGACTTATTTATACTGTTGATTTAAATTTCTAATTAAAAAAGAGATTAATATAAATAAACTGACAAAAGTTGCTTAAATAATCTTTTATTACGTTGATGAGTGTAAAATGTGTACGTAACTTAAAATATGAAATTTCGACATTATATCAGTACGTAATGAAAATTATCATTTTAACATAAATATGCAATTCTTATTAAATTAAAACAAATACTATAAATTAGTCATGATGGTTGCATGTACAGCACAACAGATAATTACTTAAAAGGAAATGTGTAGAAATATTATATGACTCAGAGATATATATTTAATTATATGTTAATAAACTTTCAAGAGAAAAATGAACGGAAAACCGATAATAATCGCAATGTTAATTAGTAATTCTGATTTTGGGCGCTGATTTAATTTAATATAAATGGTATTTCGCAGCAGTCTCCTTTCTCTCTCGCCGATAATGTCTCGGTAAGACTACGAGTTCGCGTTGATACCTGACACATTAATCTCGGGTGGTGCAAACATCCTTAATAATTAGCCACACTAAGGGAAGTGTCGACACACACTCGGCATTGCTCTGCGCCTCTCCCGTTCTAACATTTTTCCTTTTAATTACATTCCCACATCGTGATTTTTTTGCAACAACCCGAGTCAAAGTACTTGACCCTGATTTTAATTAGCGCGAAAATCGTGATAATAAAATTAAAGCAACAGTTTGTTTAGGAGTTTCTTTTTTTAATTTTAAACGCACGCTATATGTTATTCTTATTCCAGAAAGTTTACGAGCGTACTCGAGATACGTCACTTCGGGCAGTCGTTTATTCAAACGAGTAAGCATTCTTTTTACAAAACGTCCGTCTACCATTAATCAGTATATAAACGTATAAAAATTTTTATTGGGTTTTAATGACTTCTACGCTACGGTTCAAATTCTGGCGCAATTTAGATTGGTGCAATATCGACGCAGCTATGTGGCACTTCGCTTTCTGGTAGCTCATTTAAATCTTCAGTTGCGATTCATTCAACTCGAATTGTGCAATTCGATTCCCATAAGGAATAAGTCGTTAATACAATTAATGTGTGTCTGTCACTGGCTAGACAAATCCTGAACCACCTGTATTTTTAAAATTGTGCTACGTGCCAATAAAAAAATTTTTTTCTCTGAGACTAAAAATTTTCAAGTTGGATTGGTGGGTTAGTGAAACGTCGTTTGTATAACTATGACGATCATCTAATTAATTTTTATCGAAAATTTGCTAATGTTCCTCACTTTCTAGAAATAAGAAACAAAATAGATTGACAACTCAAGATGTAGATTTAAATGCTTTCTATTTCTAATTTTTCTTAAAAATGCATCCATGATTTTTTTCTTATTTAAATATATATAAGTCATATCTATTAAGATATAATTCTGAATGAGGCGATATCCTTTCCAAAAAAAGTTTACAGTAGTAGAACTTCAAGTTAATTTTTCTCCAATTAAAGATAAAGAAACTTAACGCTATTGATTATCTTATATTATATTATGCATTTTTTTGCTCGAAATGATTAATTAAAATTCTTTGCTGAAATGAGGCAATCATTAATTATTTATTAATCTTTATAAAATATTTACGAGTTTTTGAAATGATGTGGTAACATGAGATACGTAACAATTTACATATTTGCGGAATTTATAACTTTTTTTCGAATATTGTAGACCAATGTTGCTAATGAAATGTGAGTCAAAATTACATCGATCATCGACCCGGAAGAATTTTATAACGTTCTCAAGCCAAATCTGTCCAACAATTTATTAATTATTCACGAGGCCTTGTACGCACGACAATATCACATCATTTTACGGAATAAACTTTGATAAAGCATCTTCAAAATTTAGCTAGATACAGATCTGAAAATAAT